TAACAGAAGTCTTTAAGTAAATAGCTGTGGGTGAGTGTTTGGAAGTGCTGAAGCACTTTGAAAGTGAAAAGTACTTCAGCACTGGAAAATCTTGAATATTAATGCAGATAATAAAAGTACCTTAAAGCTGGATTTTCATCTCTTTTCTGTTTTTGAGAATCACCTTTCATTTCCCTGTCCTGGGCTAAAACTTCACTGAGATGTTTTCCCAGTGTGCATTTTAGATTGTATTTATGTCTTAAAAGGGCAACTAACAATGTGATAGAAGAGATGGGCAGAACTGCTCTGATGTGACACTCTCAAAGGTAATCATTACTTCTGAAATCATCACTTCTGTGTGCAAAAGCATGTAAACTGCGAGTCTTTGTCTAAGACAATTTCTGTTCTGGATTAAAATGATTAATACATAATTTGAGATTTTTTAGCACAATATTAAAGTAACTCCTGCCTTAACTTCTGCTTATTCCTCAGTTCCTTAGCCATTCCAATAGAATTAGGCTACCAGCAAGATCCATGGATGTATGGAATACCTTCCTAAATTAAAATAAAGGGTTGGTCAATACTACTGACTGTTTTGTTTTCCAGACCTGACTAAGGAACACATGTTTTATGGCCAGTTCATTCAACTATTGGCTAATCCTTCAGTCTACAGAATCTGCTTTCTTTAAAAGCCTGAGATTAATCTAGCCCCAAATAACATGACACAGAGATTGAACACACTTTTAAATAATTTCAATCAAGAAGAGCATATCCAACTGAATTAATCACAGCAGAAACACTCTAGGTTGTCATCTTTTCATGCAAGCTACATAACTGAACATTTATTAAAACAATTTTTAAAGATGATGAGCGCTTATTTATACACACCAACCCCTAATAACAATGTAATTTTTATCTTATTAAAACAAAAGATAACAGAGCTGTAAACAAAATTTCTTTTATTATCACAGGGAAAGCTATTCCTATATATGTAACAAAAAGGAATTCCCTAATTCCATAGCACTTCCCTGACTGACCCCTTCCAGCACTTAACTACACTCATGCTTGGAAAGTTTATCTAAACATCTATCCCAGATGTCCTTTTCTGAAAACAAAGCATAAAACTTGCTTTGAAATTAAAAGGCTAAAGCTCTGAAGGCAGAAGAAACATAAAATTATCTTCACATTGCTCCCTATGTCTGTTTCACTAATCCTCATGTTTGCAAATACAGTATAACTATTATTTATTCTTCTAGTAAAAAAGGCTTATACCACTTAAATAGGAAAACCAAGTTAACTGTCAACTAACTGTTCAGCAGTAAAGATTCCTCAAAAATTTGATATTTTAAAAGAAATATATAATTGTTCCCCTCATTGTTCGCTTTAACTTGAATAAAACTTTTTCTAATTGGCAGTATCCAGTTTCATAGATGTGGGCCGACACCTTTGATTCAATGACTTTAACATTGCTAAATAAGTATTCAGAAAGGAATAGAACTGCCACAATGCACAGTAGTCTTCATAATGTAAGGTACAAGGCACAAATAGGTATTAGGTCTTCAAAAATATTAACACAGTTGGGGATCCTAACATTGTTTATCATTTTCTACTGCACTAGGTAGAGTTCTTGTACAGTCACGAGGCAAGTATTTCTCTATTCTAGCTGTAATATGCTAGGGTTTTTCTTTTCAATACCTTCAGATTTTTTTTTAGGACTAAATTCTTATCTCTATAAAAAGAGAACACAGCATGCAGTTAAAGTAATGTTTATAATCAAGACTCTATATCTATAATGAACTAATGTAGGAAATTATGGGGGGTTTTAAAATATAAGACCTGTGGAAGGACAAGCCTGAAAGTAGTAGTCATGCAACTTGTTTTTGTCTTTATTGAATACTATACGAGTATAAAAGCAAGATATGGATTTGAAAGTGCTAAGAGGAACATTGCTGTAAATTGAAGTGTGACATTTTTCTCCTTTTAGTTACATTATTCTCAGAGCATTTTAGTCAAACCAGGGAGGAGTAACAAAACTGAAGGTACTATGTTCATACAGTGTGAACTAACTTTATTCACATATAGCCTGAAGAGAGTGTAAAAACTCAAGACTCTTATTCCTCTTGCAATTCTGCTTCTTAGAGATTTTAGTCTAAAAAAATTGAACACTGCTGTCAAGGTAAGGGCCATCTCTCTCTTGAAGAAAAATGTATGGCCCAGACATTCCAGCAGAATGAGGAGGGAGATGAAAAAAACTTGCCAAGAAAAGCCAACTCACTGTGGAAAGTACCTCCCTGGTGAGGCAGAACAGAAAAGTGAAACAAACCTCAGAATTTCTGACATTTACTGTGTGCGAATAACATTTTGCAAAGTTTGGTAAAGAAGAATGCAAATTATCCCTTACTATTCAGAGAGACAACCTAGTGGGATTTTCAGATTAGTATCCATTAATGTATTTTCTCCCCCTTTTTCATTTCAGATCTAGAATAAACAAAAGTTACAGCTCACCAGGGCACAGAGACAATATTCCTTATGAGGAATACACAGTGTTTTATTTCATTAGAGTGCTTAGCACATTGGTTCTCAGTTTGTGGTACTACAAATACCCCTCATCCTAAAAGTTCACCCAAATGCTGGAACATTGACATGAAACTAAAAGAAACTGCACTGCCTAATGCTGAAGGTCGTCTAACATAGTGTCTGGTATCAGCTTTCATTGAGTGCCAGAGGATTTTAGGACTGTCAGAGGCAACCTGGAACACTTCCCTCAACAAACTCTTTTGACTTCTAGTGATCAATCTTCAGTGAGTTTCTGATCCAGGGATCTTAGCTATATGTCCCATTTTGTAATGTAAGCATGCCACATGTGAAAAAAAGTTGCTCATTTTTTCATTTTGGACTGGCTACCTCCATACCACCACTTCTATGAAAACACACACCTTTTCACATGACTACTTAATTTACAGATCCCTGTTATATTCTCATGGAGCTGCCTCTTTCCCATCCAGAAGAGTCCCAGACAATTCATCTGTTTTTCAGCTGTGTTGTCATGATACAGCTTTGACCCTCCAATTTGAGCCTTTTCCTGGCTTTGCTGTCTTTTTGTAACAGAGCAGACCAGAATGTTACACTGTGTTGACCTAACTGCACCATCAATTTACATGGTGTAAAACTGTTTTCTGTTTTATTTTTTATGTCCTACTGAGTCATTCTCAGCACTTATGTGACCTGCTGCTGAACAGTGAGTTGGGGTTTCCATAAAATTACTAAATAACCTCCAAATCACTTTCCTACATAGTAATCCCTACTTCCCACTTCAGAGGACTCAGCTGCAGATAAAATGAAATCTAAGTATTATTTTATATATTTGTGGGATCTCAGCACACCACTGTGGATGTGCAGAGACACCAGGGGAGCCCGACATATATTATTTTATATTTACATTGTTTTAGCAAAATGTTTAAATACGCTTTCCATTTTATCAGACAGTCTGTCATGAGATTGGTCTGATGCTTTTAGCACTTTCCATTTTTGGGGTTTTTTTGAGAAAACAACATAGATGCAAATATTATGTTCCCATTTAGGCCTCTTTAACTGATCCCCAATGTAACTCTTGAGCAGTAGAGTCCTGCTCTTCTTTAGCAGTGCGTGTTGGGGATATTGCTATTACTTTTTATTATTCTATTTTGCAAATAGCAGTGTGGATGTCCCAGTCAAGGGATGCCCACTCTTCAACCAGTGCATCACCGATTTTAAAGAAGCTTTAATGAGAGACTTTGCACCGGTACTTGTCCACCTAGGGAAGCATCCAGCAACTCTACTGACCATGAGGCATGAACTCTCTCAATATGTAGCTACTCACACTGCTCAGTGCTTGTACAGTCTAATCACCTCCTGACCAGGCAGCTTCACTTACAGGCTTCCAATTTAGAAAACAAAAGTATGTACAGGTTTTATTGTTCTACATCTTTGACTTATGTGTTGCATTTTTTCCCACATTTTCACATTTGCCCATTTCTGGTTTTTTGACAGAAAATACTAATTTACTAATAAGGGCCAGTTTTTTCCTCTTGTGAGTTCTCTAATTTCTCAAGGAAAAAATAATTTCTATTTCACAATGAAACAGAGATCCAATATTCACACTAAAAATTGAAATTTTATTTTGGATTTGTAGTTTTGGTACCATCAAAGGTATGGTTACCAGCTGAGTGAGAGATTTTGCTGTATAGAGTCTTAATTCTCAAAGGACTTAGTTCTTAGCCTTTGGGACAGACATTCAGTTTAAGGAGGGTCTAGATTACTGGTTGCTTATTTAATTTCAATTTATAGCATGGCACCAGTTTCCCACAAGACAAACACTTTGTTATCTCCACTGTCTCAACAGCCTCACTTAAAACCAGATATTCTAGTCTTCAAGTGTTTTTTTAGACTGAAATTTCCACAGAAATACATACACAGTGGGTTGAGTTCCCAGTTTCAAGGGAGCTTTAGTTAACTGCTCCTTGCTGTTTATTTTCACCGACTTGTATCCTATTCTTTTGCCAAAGTGTATTTATCATCGATAATCACATTTCCCTTCTTTCACATCTACTTTTCCTGAGTTCATGGACTTTAAATGCCTACTTTTTTCATTTTGAAAAAAACATGGTGTGACAGAAGCCTGTTTTCATTCTCTGTACATACTCTTATTACTAATGGACCCATCTGTTTTTATTCCCTTGACACCACTTGCATGGTCATGCAATGGAACTGCTTCCTTCTCTCCCTCTCTTCTCTTCTGGGTCTGCAAAGCTACCACATGACAACCACAGTCTTTCAGCCTAACACAGGGCTGAAGTAAAATCTTTATTTCAAAGGGAAAGCATATTTCTTAATAGTGGAAAGAAGGAGGAAGGAAAAAATAGGCATAAACCCCATCTTCTGTTCAGTGCTGCTGCATTAAAGATCCAGAAAAAAAAAGGAAGTTTGTGAAACCATTTCAGCGAGAGACCTTTTTTTTGACAAATGTACAGGAAACATTAATCTGAGGAGTTGAGGTTCTTTTATTTTACACCTAATACAATTCAAATTTAAAGGATTACTTGCACAAAAAAATAAACACATTTGGTATAAAAATTTATCATCACTTTAACACCTTTTTTTCTTCTTATGGCCCCCGCCTTCTCTGGAGCAGAAACATATAAAGACTAATGGCACAAGTTTGTTGTATTCTACAGCATTTTTTGTTTTTACATACTCAAGTACCCTAAAGGACAACAGCCCGCTGTATACAAGAACCATTTTCTTCAGCCTGCTGAATTAAAGGTTCATAAAGAACCAAAGCTATAAAGGCATTTTAAAAACCACTGTCTCTTTTTCCTTTCAGAAGCACTGACTTTTTGCACTATTAATATACATAGTGTTACGTAACAGCTCTTGAGTACAGTACATGCAGCAGAATATATCTGTTGTATATAAAACATACATTTAAAATCTTGACTTATCGGAATTTTTGGAAGATTGAGTACTTGTAGAATGCCCACTGCTTAGAGAAAATGGTTTGATAGTACAAATATCTGCATATGCTGGCCACTGGAACAATCCAAGGCTCACTGGAATAGTATCTGTAGCACATCAAGGTGCATAAATAATTTACCTACAATATTAAAACACAACTTAGCAAAACCAATAGTTCAAGATCTTATGAGTGCGGGCTGGAGCTAGAAGATCTTTATGGTCCTTTCCAACCATACCATTCTATGATTGCTATGTTACTCTTCAGTGGTTGCAAGGAAGTGTGGTGAGAGTTGCCCCTCCCCTCCCAAGTCCTTTATAAAACCTTTATTATGCAATTTTTTTCCATATGAACAAAACTTATTTATGTCTACTGCCTCTTCTCTTCATTGCAGCTGTACACTGTGGACAGTACCACTTCCCTTTTGGTGCTTCTGTCAGTCCAACACATCCATAGTGGAACCACTCAATAGGGCACTAAAAAAAGAGTTCAAAGAGAAGGTTTGTGACTTGGGGTTTTTTTCAAAATGCGTATCACAAATACAATTCTATGAAAATGAAACACGAAAGGATAGCGTATTCTGCATTTTACAAAAGTCACAGGACAAAATAAGGAAAGGCGAGGAACTGCAACATACACTCAGTACACTAAGAAAAATGATAAAAATTCTAGGAGTGATATATGGACTCACATTACAGAGCAAAGTAAGTATGTTGTGCTTTGAAATAGTTTGACAAAGAAATCTTATCACTCACTTCTGTTTAAATGTAGTTATCTCAGTAAATACATGATTATATTCAACTGTTCTTTGAAAACTTTTTCATTTGAAAAGGACAACTCTTATTAGTAGTGAAATAGCTGAAAATTCACGGAAATACAGGATATTTTGAAGCAGGGCATTTCTTAACCTAGCAAAGGCTGCAGGTTCCTAAAAGAACCTAAGCTGTGTGGAGATATGAGAAGTTTCCTGAAGGATAATTCAAATCATATGCACTTTACTCTAAAAAACTCTACTCAAACTAAAAAAAATGCAACTCCTACAAGCAATAGTTATATGCGCAAGCTGCTCCTGAACCTTTTGAACTTTGTTACTTACATCTTGGTTATCACAGCCTACCATTTCTCCATAGGACACCTAGTAAAATAAGAAAAAAACCCTTAGCAATTAACATTTTGAAAGGGCCAACATTCAAATTTCTTTCTTTGAGGAGATTTTTCATTAATAGCAGTAACAACATTTTCATTTTACTTTTGTTACACAACCCAAACACCACAATGTTTGTAGTGAACTGATTTTCCAAAATTGTTTATGCAAAAGAACATACATCTTCATATTTCAGATTGGATAGAAAACTAAATTCACTGCGACCCCCTCAATTTTTAATTTACTTATTCCTGCAGTCTCCATTGCCAGACTTAAAACTCTCCAAGGATATCACATCACTAAAAAAACTGACTATTTTTAGCTTCAACAGTTTGTTATTCATATCACCAGTAAGTAAACAAAAACAGATCAGAAGAGTAAAAATATAGTTTTTTCAAAATTAGCATTCAGAGAAGGAAGTTCAGCTGCATCAAAACAGCAGCTGTAGTTGTATTTCAATTTGGAGGCCATCCTTACCTGATTACAAATACAGTAACGTGGCTCATTTGGATCATAGGTCCAATCAACCTGGCTATTAGAATCAGACTCTGGTATTACTGCTGTTTGCTGAGACAGTTCTTGTGCCAGCGCAGATGAAGAAGAACATGATGATAGAGAGGAAGAAGAAGATGATGATGAGGACTGCTGACTTGAGGATTTGTTGTTGTTTCTGAGGAAGAGTGAAAAAAAAAGGAAGAAAAGTGATTAATTTTCTGCCAAGAGAAAGAATCACTAAACAAGTACTTTGTTGACTCTGAACTACTGCAGTATGTAAATCCCAAAGCTATCATTCACCATCACATTTAATTCAGCCACTGCAAGCACTGGAATGCACCCACTGTATGCTCTTGGAAAAGGAAACGAGTCATAGCAGCTTACAAGCGCAGGATGTGCTGTTCTAATCAATAGAATTTAACAGCTCTAAACTGTCTAGTGGCTTTAACAAATGCTTTTCTTCATAAAGTTTTCCATCAATAGCCTTGGTGTCAAGTCCTTATAAGAACTGTTACCAATAAAACAGGAATTTACATATAAATAATGTCATATGTCATGTACAATAGATAACTGTTTTGAAGATGACTGATTCTCTGTTAATCTCCGCTCAAGCATCAACAATCACTCCATAGGAATGGTGCCAGAATAAAATTTCTCTGCTTTTGCTTATAGGTCAGACCTGACACCCAAGATATTCATAGATGAAAAATGCTTTTCAAATAGCATTATTAATTGAGTTGTGAACACACACAAATTTGAATGAAGAAAAAAACTCAAGACAATTTAAAAGGATGGGCATTTTGAGACAAATTCTTTCAAGTACAAGTTCTGATTTGTTCAATGTGTTGTGACATTGTGTTGCTGAAAATGTTTTAAAACTTCACTACAATCAGAAATGAAATTCATTTCCTGTTCTAGACCGTCAGTCATTAGGAAGTGTCATGTTTACTTGAAACTGTCATCAAACATCTCCAGATTATTTCAAAACCATCTACAAACCACTGGACAGTAATTCTCAGCAACTACTGTTAGATCAAATCTCTCCAAAACACGGAAAAGTGAGGGAAGAAACTTGATTGCATCTCAGATAAAAAAGCAAATCAGTAGAGTGAGTTTGCTTAAAGAAAAAGAAGTGGGAGGACTAAAGAATACAGCCCTGCACAACAAATGGCCAAGAGGCAGTAACTACCTTCTGCTGATTCTCCCCCCACAGATACTAAATACAATGTACTTCTATTATGGCCCATGACCTTTTAAAAGAAAGCTCATCTGTCTTCAAAGTTATAATTGCAGTCAACAAGTAAGAAAACCTACTTGCTTTTTCTGCCACTTCGTGAATCTGTGGTTGATGAACTTAATGTCTGAGTTAATGTAGATGCCAGAGCTGATGATGAATATCCAGCTGAATCTCTGGACAATGAAAATTCTCTTCCAAGCTGAAAATCATTGTTCTTAAATGCTTCATAGCTGGCTTTTAGACTGGATGTTCGTCTTCCCTCCTTCATCTAAAAGGAATGCTGATACTGTATCAGATTACACAGTAAAGCTCCTACACAAGGCTGCTAACTGCTAATTATATGCACAGGTTCACTCATGACCTTGTTAATGAAATTATGTACAGAAAGCAGTTAAATGTGTGAGAACATCTTCCAGGAAAAGTCAGAAAACAAGCTGTCCCTTTAGGCAACCTATACAGGATGAAACTGTCACATATTAATAAAATCCTAATATAAGAACTGAATCACATCAGCTGAAAGTGACCCTGGGAATTCAGATTAAAAAAAAAAAAAAAAAAAAAAAAAAAAAGCAGTCACTAGCCTTTCTTCTTAATCATAAGCAGATGGCAGAATGACAAGAATATTCTGACATTACCTGTGCCGTGGCTTGCACTGCTTGAGCTGCTGCCATGGTAATTGCACCGGCCCCGGATCCTGAAGATAATGAGCCCAGGTTATATGATGCCAATGGTTGAGAAGAGTTTGTATTGTATGCATTGTTTGAAGAGGATGATGAATTACTGTTTCGACACCCTTGATGAATAGAACACATTTATGAAATTCAAAATGAAACTAAATTCCTTTGCATTTTAAGAAGAGTTATATGACAACCAGTGAAAGAGTAGGAACTCCGTTTACGCATCAGAGCAGTCTAATCATTTGGAAAAAAGGTTTTAAAAGTAATTAGACACACCAGTATTTGTTTATGGGGGAAAAAAAAAGACGTTTGTTCCCTATCTATCCTCATGTGCAAGGAGTCCTTCCAGAATGACAGCTCTCACTATGATACTCAGCTATTGAAGAACAGATGCAGATGCTATACATATGCCTATATTGAAACAATTCTCACCTCTATAATCATCAAGAAGAGGGTAAGAATGATTACACACCCATACTGTTTCTGAAGTAAAACTTTCAACAATCTTAATTCTAAAAACTATAGATCAGTTTTAATGCAACACAATTTCCAGGGTCATCTGCAGAATGACAGCTGCAGAATTTTATTTGCAGCCTCATGTGAAGTTTCTTCAAAAGAAAACTGAAATAGACATGACTGGAATGACTTAAAACTGACTTAAAACATGAGTGAAGTAGTTGACTTACTCTAACTACTTAGTCTTTTATTTTCAGAAAAGAAACTACGAAACCTTAATATTCAGAATACGCAGAAAGGTTTAGATTTTTTTAGTCACTATATACAAAAAGACTTCTCTTTTGACATAAACAACACATGAAAAAAATTTATTTTCAGACCAACTCTTAAAAAAAAGGTGTGAAAATTCCTTTCTCTTACTTTGGAAATTGTTGTATGCATTTTCTTCCCAAAAATAATGCATTGATCTCTTATATTTCTATTACTAGCTGAACAAAACTGTACTGTTATCTTCCTCGAAGTGTAAATAAAAAGAAACAGCCATCATACAGCTGTTAAATGACAACAAAGCAGACACCCTTCATGGAAAACACAGATTAGTAATAATGTCTGCAACTTCTCATGTTTCAAGTGACTGAAAATCCGAGGGAAAGGAATATCAGTCTCTGACTGAAGACTGGCTGAATGGCAGATCCCAGAAGGTCATTATTGATGGCACAGGGTCCAGAAATTCCACAAAGGAAAGTGCAGTGCACCTGGAGAGGAATAATCCCATGCAACAGCACACGCTGTGGGCTGACCCGCTGAAAAGCCACCCTGTGGAGAAGGACCTTAAGGTCCTGGTTGACAACAAACTGTCCCTGAGCCAGCAGTGTTCCCTAGGGGATAAGAAGGCCAAGGGTGTCCTGGAGGTTGAGGGAGGTGATCCTGACCCTCCACTCAGCCCTAGCAAAGCTGCATCTGGAGTGCTGTGTCCCATTCTGGGCTCCTCAGTACAAGAGACATGGAGTTCCTGGAGTGGGTCCAGTAGAATGAAAAAAAGATGATTAAAGTACTGGAGCACCTCCCTTATGAGGAAAGGCTGAGGGAGCTGAGCCTGTTCAGCCTTGAGAAAAGACGACTGAGAGGGGACCCCATCCCTCTCCGTGAGCATCTCAAGGGAGGGTGTCAAGGGAATGGAGCCAGGCTCTGCTTGGTGGTGCTGAGCAACGGGACAAGAGGCAACAAGCAGGACCTGATGCACAGGAAGCTCCACCTGAATATGAGGAAGAACTTCTGTGCAGGTGGCCACACACAGGACAGGTTGCATAGAAGCAAGTTGCCCAGAGAGGCTGTGGATGTGCTCTGGGATGACGCTGCTCAAGCAGGGAGGCTGCACCAGATGATCCACTGAGGTCCCTTCCAACCTCACCTATTCCATGATTCTGTGATTTCAGAAGACTAACTCACAAATATAATTAAGTATCTCTTCTTCTGACTAAAAAGCAATGAAATTGAAAGACAATTAGGATTACCTGGTGTGTTTTCTTTAGAAGCATCTGATGTCAGGGTAGATAGAAGAGCTTCAGATTTAAACTTCTTTTCAGGAACATGATCTGTTGTACCATGGTGAGAAGATGGATTGTGTTTCCTTTCTAAATGAAATAAATGAAGAGAAATGTAGAATCTATTCAGCTTGAAAGTCAAATTATGCTAGCACTTTCAACTAATTCCCACCAGCAAAACCTATTTCATTCTTGCCCTTCTTAACAGACATTATTAGTATTTATTATGCTTTGTTTTCTCCTTGCAATGATGAAGGGAAAAAAGTTCTGAACCATCTTTTTCCTCACACTACTCAACAAAAAGAAAAAAAAAAAAACAAAAAAAACCCCACATAAAAAGTGGCCGTCTTTATAAGTTTCAAATACTTACTCTCTACTGGAGTGTGAGAATGGGAGTGATGGTTATTCACAGGCTGTGCTGGTGTATCCAGCTCCAGAGACCCTAAGAGGGAGGTAAGAAGGACACAAAAATTGAGAGTTGGCACCATTTTAACTTTTATGTACTAAAGGGATCTTTAAAATATTAACCAAATCACAATGCAGTTATATTTATTTTAATCAGAACAATTTTTGCTGGAGTTGAAACCCTTTCTACAGTACAACCAGGAACTAGTGAGATTAGTTCTCAAATAAAAATTGACAACTGCTACTGTCCAACTGTTGAAATCAAGAACTTAAAATCAAGGCAAATAAGAAGAACCAACAACACTGCCCTCACCAAGCTACTTAATCAAATGAGTTGCAGAATGGCTGCACCAAAAGTACTGACAATCTACACCAGTATGAACTGAAGACTGAACAATGTAAACTGTATAAAAAAGGCACCTTGTCCCACTGAGTCTACCTTGTCATATTCAGTCAAAACTCAAGAAAACAGCAGTTTCATCTTTCAAGTTGATTTAACATTCCAAAGAAAGGGCTGCAGATCATGATCCAGATTTTTTTAACGTCCAAAATACATAGAGCAACAATACAAATAAAAACAAAACAAAAGAACTCACAAAACCAACAAAACAACAATAAACCCCACCCCCATCCTCCCCCCCCAAAAAAAGGAAAAAGTCAGACAGGCATAAATCCAAGTATATGTCTAAGAATAACATCTACTGTAAGATGAGGCTAATCACAGTATAGGAGAGACTCTGATGATAAATTTGGAACAATATACAATATTTTGTTCATCAATCTCTAACAAAAAGATTTTGAAGTAGTTGCAATACCTACCAACTTACATTTACACAGAAGACAAAACAAGAAAGCAATTCACATTCATTTTTCAAAATCTGTTGCCTCAGCATTTCTTTACCTCTTCCAGTGCTTTCAAAAAGCACTGAAATACATGAGTAATACATAAATATTACAAAAGTTTAAATATAATTATTCTAGAAGAGGATCAAAGCATAAGGAGCTATTTTGGCTGAGAGGACTTCAATCACGTTATGAACTTGCCCAAAGGCTGCCCTCTGGTGGGACTTCAACCTCATGTATTTACTTACTCTGAAAGCCAAAAATGTTAAGTCTCCTACTTTTAGCTTTATTTAAAACCAAACAAGGAAAAAAAACCCTCAAACCAAACAAACCTTAAAGATGTAACATGCAGTCTAGTGCTTCTCTATTTTGATTTCTTGAAATCCTATCTAGCGACCTCTCCAAACACATAGTTCAACAGAAGGTAGCACCACATCCTAAAACCAACTGGTATTTAAACTAAACCAAACCAGTCCTTTTCTGCAATTGCTAGTTAATTAATAGCATTTAGAGTTTTCTTATATTGTGCCCAAACTCCCAGCTTATACAACACAGATACAACAAGTTCCAAGAAAGACTGCTTATTCCTAATATTCCCAACTGACTTAAGTCAATTTTCAGTATCTTTGGCTATGAAGACAGCCACTGCCTCCATAATCACAGTTACATCAACTTAGACATTTATCACATTCAAATTTGAATTTGATGTCTAAATGCTGATATGTACAGAAAAGACAGATTCTTCTACACCAAGCTGGCAAAAAAAGCTGTAACTTTACATTTTTATTCACATTCTAACAACCAGCATGGTTATATTTAACATGCAGGTTTCTTACCTAAAATGCTTTTCCTTCACTGGCCCGTTATAGAACAACCCATTATTGCCCCTTTAAAATGGAAAACCACCCAGTACATGCAAAACTAAAGTAATGACCCTCCTTAGTTTGCTGGCAATGAGTACAAGGAAGAAATGTTACCCTTGTAACTGGGTAGATGGCAAAAGTACTTGGCTGAATACCTACAACCATTAAAAACAGGTTTAAAGAATTATGTATCTTACTGTAAAAATTCACAGGGACAACAGTTGTGTGAAAAAATTATCCTACTTACTCAAATGTATTTTGATTTCACTGGTATAAATTGAGGTTGAAACTAAAATTTGAGAGTGGTTTAAACTAAAATTTCAAAGTGGGTTAAAACATGGGTGAAAATACTGGCAGCTACTAACAAGAGTATGATCCTTTAATTCTGCAAATTGACAGAAAGTCTGTCAAGTTCTTAAAGAAAATCATGCATACTTACGTCTCTCTAATATTTCTGTAATTCCAGCATTATCTGCTTCAAGTTCCATTTTAAATTTAGCAAGTTCCTGGTCCAACTTTCTCAAATGACGGTCTACCTGTTTGTTAGACAAAGCAAAATAAATAGCACCCAATTCTGGAACATGAATATCTACATTCTTAATCTCATGCTTGCTAAGTATTTCCCTTCCAGCAATTTTGTGCCATGCAGCACTAAGCACAATAACACACAGAAGGGATGTTCTTGGTCACCTCCATTTCCCTCTCTCAGCAGAGACACTGCTGTTAAAACCAAAATAGCATAGGGAAAGCTCCAAGACACTTCTTTTCAGAAATAAAGATGAAGAAGACTTGGAGGTGCTCTGGTTATGCAAACTTAAAGGGGAAGAGAAAGAACAGTACATGACATGGACTTCAGCAGAAATTCAGCTGCTCTGGGGAAATTGCAAGTTCTGAACTGAAACGTGTGCAATTTGTGTGCCACTATAAACACCAATAAATTTGGTGTGTACTGAGTCTCAACTGAAAGTGGAGACTCCCATGTCATTCAGCAAAATATGACGTGCTCTTGGGCATTACAAATTAATCAAAAAAATTCTCAACTCACTATCATGAAAAGAAACACTACATTCCAAATGCTTTCTACATCTGTAATCATACAGCAAAATTTACCCATCTTTATTAAAAACTGGGAGGTTTTTCCAGTTACCAGCTAAGCAAAAGAGAAGGGACAGTTCCAACTTCTAGAACAAACTTTTGCCTAGTTGTAGTGAAACTAATGCAGTTGTTTTATGTCTTCTATATTTGAGCGTAGTCTGACTTGCATGTTCTGTTCTCTTGAGAAATGTAAAATAAATAAACTTTAAATCATGTGCCATCCCCCTCTGGGTCTGGCCATCCATCCAATTTTTCACCCAATGAACAATGCACCTGCCCAAGGCATGAGCAGCCAGTTTCTCCAGAAGAGTGCTGTAGGAAACAGTGTCAAAGGCTTTACTAAAAGTCCAGGTAGGCAACATCCATAGCCTTTCCCTCATGTACTAAGTAGGTCACTTCAATATTGAAGATCAGGTCAGTCAAATAAGACCACTTTTCCTAAACCTACGTGCCTGGGCCTGATTCCCTGGTTGTCCTGCTTGTGCTATGTCATGACAGTCAGGATGATCTGCTCCATGACCTTCCCCAGCACTGAAGTCAGCTTGGCAGGCCCTCACTTCCCTAGATGCTCTTTCTGCCCCTTGTTGTACATGGACATTACATTGCTAATTTCCAGCCAACTGGGACCTCTGGTAAACACCCAAAAGTGGCTCAGTGACCTTTTCCACCATCTCCTCAGTGGGGAGGATCCCATCACAGCCCTAGCCTTGTGTGTGTCTAAGTGGCACAGCAGGTTGCTGACCTCACTTGAGTTAGGGGGACTTCATTCTGCTCCCCACTCACTTCTTGCAGCTCAGGGGGCTGGGTACCCTGAGAACAACAGATCTTGTTATTAAATATTGCAGCAATGAAGGCCATTAAGTATCTCTGCAGTTTCTTCATCCTCCATCACTATGTTTACCTCTGTATCCAGTAAAGGATGGGTATTTTCCACAGCCCTTCTTTTACTGCTGATACATTTTTAAAAATATTTTTGTCTTTTAAAAATATTTTTGTCTTTCACAGAAGTAACCAGATAAAGTTTGACCTGGGCTTTGGCCCTTGTAATTATTTCCCCACATAACCTCATTAAATCCTTGTAGTCCTCTCGAGTTGGCTGCCCATTCTTCCCAAGGTGATAAACTCTTTTTTCTCCCCCAAATTAAAGAGAAGCCAAAGCTCTGTATTTAGCCAGGGTGGTCTTCTTCCTTGCTGGCTTCTCCTTTAGGGATGGGCTGCTCCTATACATTTAAGATTTTCTTCTGGAAGAATGTCCAGCCTTCCTAGACTCCTGGGATCACATCACATCCCTTGTGATGCCTAGATCCTGGCATCTCAAGGGATTCTCTCAACCAGTCTCCTAAACAGGCTGAAACCATGCATTAAAATCTTATGATTTCTAATTCTATTTCTCTGTTTTATATTTAAGTGACACTTACTACCCAAAATTCTTAAAACTCAATAAAATGTTTCTTTCACCAGCAAAGCATCTGTATGCAGACAACATAAAAGTACTGCACACTGCAGCACGACTGCAGTGCATATCAAAATGCTTAGAACTTCTTAGGGCACAAATTTAGGTGATTCACCACAAGTCTTGTATCCACTTACCAGATCATATATTTGATTAGCCAGTTGCACTTTTTCATCTGCATCTTCCAAAGCCTTATAATAATCCTGTTATGAAGAGAATATTTTTTAAAATATGAATGTAACAGAATTCATTTCAGTAAGTTTAAGCTGCTGTTATGAAGCAGAAAATATAAGTCAAAACGACAAATTTAAGTCAGTTTTCAGAAAGACTGAAATTTTACTGTAAACAACAATCATCTGAATTTTAAATGAGAGATATTATTTATATCAACTTATTTTCCCTGTGTTAGAAAAAGCCAAATTACAAGAAGGAGACACCTCCTACTAGAGTGATACTTAGATTTCTGCAAGAAATGCTACAAGAAATTAAACAATCTTGGGTTTATTTTATATTACACAGCATCATGTAATGGACTTAAGAGGGTGTCTTTTATTGCAGAACCACAACAAATCCTTCTGCTCTTAAAAATGATGCTGAAGTACTCTGTGGGGAGGCCTTTCCAGCACTCTAGTTAAACAGAGATAATATTGTATATAATTTAAATTACTTTAAAGTAAGTTCCTCTAACTCATAAGTGCATTCTAAATAATTTGAATAAAACAATCCAAAAGCCTCCTCTAATCAATGAAAATTCACAGACAAAAATTTATTTTAAAAAAGGTATGTTTTGAAATGCTTTTACTTTAGATTTGAACAGATTTTACTGCCTTTTAATTCTCAATTTCCACTGAATAGTATCTTCCATGAAAACTACTTGAAATTTTGATTCAACTAAAGTCAACAGAAAATTTTTGATTTATTCTAGTGGAGTCAGAGCTCTGACCTTTTTCTTTTTTAGAATTTAAAAACCTATTTGCATTAATTAAAGAAGAAAACAACCCTTACCCAAATTATCGGCTGAAGTAGCCTCTGTTGAAGACTACAAAGGAATTTCTCCTGACAAAATGATGGACTACATTGCTAAAAATACCATCACCAATGTTCAAGTACTGAAGGATAACACAACCACATTAATATTCATGTTCTTACTCCTCCCTTTCTCAAGCTAAATAGACCATATGTAGAAGGACATAGGCAGAAAACCACAGGAAATGCTGAATCTAAGCTTGAAAAATGTCCTCTAAAAGAAAGGACAACTTCACGTCACACAAACAGAAATAAAAAATCTGAGCTCAAATTTTAGTACCAGGCTTCCTCACCATTTCAGGATTACACTTTTTTAAATGCTAGCAAGTGCTCAGTAAAACTTCAGAGAAATTCTTGATCAAAGAAACCTTTCACTCACTTTCCTCCTCCAAGGTAAGTTCCATCCACCTCTATGAAAGCCCAAGGGAAGGCACAGTTCTGAACACTTAAATCTTCCATCAATCATAAACTATTTTTTCCTAAGGTTGTCTTAGTTTGCAAAAGAAAAATCTGACCCACTCTTATGATATCCTTACTTTTTTGATTGATGTCATTTGTTCTTCTCTCCATTCAGGTTTGTTTTTCTTTGCATTCATAAAAAATTCATTTACCCTCTGCTCAAGCTGATCCATTGCATCTGTAGCACAGGAAAAGAGTGAGACAAATGTTATTTTCTCATGTACATAAACATTAGAAAATAAGGGGAATTTTTTTTCTCAAACAAAGTTGACAGGACTGAGGTGCAAACTATTAGAGAGGAAAAAAAAGAAAAAACCAAAACAACCAAGCAACAGTGGACAGCGGAGGGAAATATTTACCTTAATTTCCAAGAAGCAGAATTGCATTCTGGTAGGATTCTCATCAAGGTTCTTGTGCTCTCCAGCATGGGACAGGCAGGACTCCAAGTTCTAAAGGTTTTTTGTCCCTAAGAGCAGTGGTAGTGACTTAAAGCACGACCCAAACTCCTCACCCAGGGCTCTAGACTGCTGACTTTGGAACATTCTAGCCAGTTACAAACTGAGCAGGAAACAAAATGTTCTCCTAAGAGAAACAGTCAAATACAAAACCAAATAATTGAAAAAAATTAGTGTCTCAAAAAGGTAGACCAACTGAAGAGCAAAGTCACTTCCTTTAAGTCCAGGGCCTCTCCACTGTTTGCTAGGAAGGGTCAGGGCAAATTGAAAGTGCTCACAAATTATTCCCTCCACCCCCAGAGGAGTAAATGCACTGATGAACTATTATTTGGATGGGATTCTCACTTTCATGAAGTTGAGAAATATCATAAGGGGAAAAAAATAAAACCACCCATTTTCTAACATTAACTATCTCCAGAAAGGAAAATGTCAACCACAAGCTATTTTTTTCATTGTTTATTGAGACAGGAACAGGGATTCCCTTCCCTATCCTCTCCACCCTTCTCCCACTGAGATTACTATTTCAACAGCTGGACACTTGTGCACTTAACAGCTTGCACATTTCCAAAAACATGCAGCTGCCTCAGTCAAACTAGCTTGGAGCTTGGACAGCCTTGCTAGCGTCAGGACAGATGACAGTACTGAAGTTTGTTTCCCAGCATTCTCAGTGACATTGCCCAGCTATCAGTTTTAAATTAAATGTGACAATGCACAAATCACCTACAAACTTCAGGCTCTGGGTGCAGAACACCTAAGACACTTTCCAGAAACCACCATTAAAACTGGATCACATTTTGCCAAAACAAAATGTGAATTAATTAATCAGTTCAAAAAGCTCATGAAACCCTAAGTATGATTTACTCTGAGAATCCAAGAGGCCAAGGTTTTTCCCAACTCTGTGAAAATTCACAGCTAGAACTGTTTATATAAATAACCAAAAATCATTCATACTCAATGATCAAAAATATAAATAAATTTTCTTTCTACTGGGAACATTACGGATCAAAACCAACGGAATCTAACAACTGACTGGACAGAGCACTATTAATCCCAAGCCATAACTGCTGTGACTTAAGTTCACATCAATTCTATTTAGACCCAGACTAACAAAGTAGTCGAACAGTTCTGGAGTAAAACAGGCTAAAAAATGAGCATTTTCCACTTGCACCAGGTAGAGAAGTGCCACCTCTCTGGCTTCTTAACCACTGTTAAGAAGCCAGAGAGGCAAGCAAGAAGCACACACTCTGTAAGGAGGCTTCTCAAATCTCTGCTCTTTGACCAAATGACTCTAATTTGGTCCAAAAAGCCAAAAGACAAAATGTTCTATCTCCTATTCTCTGAGCACAAACACCTTAACTGTTATTCTAGTGGCTCCATAAAGAAGAAATGATAAAAAGTATCTTCTCTCTTCACTTTTTATTGAGGACATGTTATCAGTCTCTGTGAACTGCCTAGGGCAAAATTTCCACAGAAACATGGTCTCTCCTGAAAGAGCAGAAAAGGCAAAGCCAAGTTCAGGTCAGATCTATCAATTATATGGAAAGTTCTCTCTGCTACACTCAAGTTCATCCATTTTTTCTTGTGATTCTATATTCTGAGATACTAATTTCTTAGATCAAATTTCCCAAGAGTTGCCAAAACTATGAGAACAGTCTTTTTTCCAGATATTGACATTTTACCATGAAATCCTGATAATCCATGATTTTAACTTAAACAGAGAAACACATTTTATGCTTCATGTGGAGCTCAGTTAAAGCTCAAGAGTCAAGTCCCAACTCAGACAATCTTTGCTTTTTCCACAGCAATCTTATCAGAATATACAGCAGATAGATCTGGTTTATTGTTTCTTCCAACTACAAACAGCAGAACCTGCCTCATTGGGAGTCAATGTGGTCCAAACAGGGCAAAATACAAAGTCAACAATGACACTAAAGGAGAGCGGCAGAGATATCTCTAAATTACAAATCCTGTAGATTTCTAGGACAGCATCACTCTTCAAAGTACTGCTTTCAAGTACTTCTCAGACACCACACAACCTCCAGGTTTGCATGTAGTGTTCATCATGCAGCTGGGCAAGTGATGCTGAAGAGGTGCTAGCCCAGAAGTTTCATAAAGATCTTTGGATACCCTGCCAATCACTGCACAATAACTACAGAAGTACCAAGGTGTGAGAATTTTTTTCTCTACACTTAAGGTTGGTCCTAGTATACAATATTCACTGTCATTTAGTACTTCCAGTAATACAACATGGAATGTTATTTGTCATTTTCAGTTAAAGCAGAGGAAATTACAAACTGCTGTCTTGACACTGCCAGCTGCCTCAAGTTCTCAAGCACACCTAAAAAACCCTTACTATTTTGTTTGTCTTCTTATGGAACAGAAGTAAAATTTGTGAACTTATTCCAAACTATCCAAGTCAGGGCTCACCTCCCTCATGCTCCCTGGAGATAGCAACTTCAGTGGTGCTATGTACCAGAAGGAGCCATGACAGTTCCCACAACTTTAAGCACTGAACCCAAGACAACACTTACGTGATAATATACCAAATAAAATCCTATATTTGGTATAGACAATTCTACATGTGTCAATAAGGCCTGTTAAACAGACCTGCTGGGTCCACTGAAGTAAATATTCAATGGAAAGCACTTTAAAGTATTAGAGAACTGCTCCCACTTAGTACTGCATTTTGTATTCCCAAACAGTATTCCCTTGTTACTTCAATCTCTTTCTCTCATTCCCCTTTAAAATAACCTGGCCCTTCTATATTGATGACTGCTCTCATCTTTTGTGCAGTAGCAGCTTCATTAATGAATACTTTGAATCACAGTTATAGATAACCATATTAATTGTGTGTTAAATGACTGCAACAGCTACCCAGAGTGTTACAGGACACCTAAGTCCCAGAGGAGATTGCATTAAGAAAGATTAAATGGCAATGCAGCCTGAAAACAGCCTAAGGCAGTGCATTAGATCAGGATATAAGCAGAGATACAAAAGTGATCTACAAAGAAACCTGAAGTGTATTTATATTTTGTATAAAATACATATTTATACAAAAGTAGGCATTTATATAAAACAGAATTAGTATAAAACCGGAAGTATAAAGTGTATTTGGTTGCATGTCAGCTAGGGCACAAAGGGCCGAGCAAACGGCACCTTCCCATGTTATTATTAGGGAGCTGGCTGGAAAGTTTCAGGGAGAGCATGCCGCTGCCTGCTGGAAGGAGCGAGACATAACTCATGTTCCAAGCCACCATCACTGCTCTTAGGGATCAAAAATCTAAAGAGTTTGGGACGTGCCACGGAAAATGCCTTTGGGAGCAGCACAAGCCCGGAAGGCAGCTCGGCCGGGGCCGTCCTTGCGGCGCGGCGCGGCGGGCGGGGCCGTAGGGCGGGCCGGGGGCTGCCGCCACAGCGCCAGGGCGCGCGCCCGCCCCTCGCCTGGCGCGGCGCTCGGCACTCGCCGCCCGCGGGAGACGACGAGACGCCCCCGGGCCGAGCGGGGCTGCGAGAGCCGGGGCAGGGCTGGCGGGACTCACGTACTCTGCACCTGCAGGTCCATCTCGCGCATCTCGGTGAACCTGTCGCGCAGATCCATGGGAAGCTGCTCGATCACTGCGGGGACACGGGGGAGCGGGAGAGAGGGGGGAGGGAGGGAGCCAGTCAGTCACTCGCTGCCGTGGGGGAGGGGGGGCGCCGCCTCCTCGCCGCGGCTTCCCCGGCTCCCCCGCACCGGCCGTGCCCGGCCGCCCGGCGCCCCCGCCGCGCACACACTCACTCTCCAGATAGTCCTCCAGGTACAGCATGGCGGCGGCCGGGCCCGCGCCCAGGGGCTGCTCGAGAGCGGGCGCTCGTCCCTTCCAATATGGCGCCGCCGCCAACAACACCAGCGCCTCGACTCAGCGAAAACAACATTGGCGGCGGACGGCGCTCGCCGCGGCCGCGCCGCGATTGGCTGCTCGCGCCGCTGACGCACCCGCGGCCCGCGCTCTGCCGCGCGGCCTCACGGGAAGCGTAGTCTGCGCCCGGGGAGCTGCGGGGAGGCTGTGCGTCCTGCCCCGCGCTGTCGTTCCGGCTGGTCCGCGGTCATGCCCGCGATCCTCGGAGCATTCCCGCGGTCCGGGCCTATTCCCACGATCCTTAGGGCATTCCCGCCTCACAGGACCCGCAGAACTCTTGTCCGGGAGCAGCTTTCGGCCCTCCGGAGCGTCCCCCGCGCGACCGCAGCGCCGCAAGTGCGGCGAGCAGGAAGGGAAAACTTGCAGCTTCTTGGCCAGTCTCGAGGCTTTTGTTTGTCCGGTGTTGTTCTAAGTGCTCGCAGCCGGCAGTAGTGCATTAAAAGCGTAAGAAACGGCAAAACTAATGAAATTGCTTCGGTCCGTGAACTCTCACGGCACAAGGTGAAAAAGCTGCTCCGTTCAGACAGGTCACGGGTACGGCCAGCCTCAGGAGGGGAGAAACGTGCCCTTTGGGATTGCTGATCGGAGTGTAACACCAAAACCGGCCGACAGCAGTGATTGCCATCCCGTTACAATACTCCTTGCAGTAATTCGCTTTCACGTGTTTGGGACTGGGTTTTTTCACACAGTTTTGTTCCCCCAAATAGTCTTTTTCATCTGTCTTCTACTGCTGTTATTTACTGCTTTAAGCATGGACTGATGGATTTATCCAGACATGTTTTTTGCCCAGGGAAAGAAAATTTTGGGGCTTGCATGATGCCAGGTGCGAGTATAGGAGCATAAGAATTGTGGTAGCAGATCAAGTTTGTTCTCCACTCTTTTGTTTACTTTTTGTGCTTTTTTGTTTCCACGTCTTTATCTGTGCCTGATGTATCCAAGCAAAAATGAAACATATGATTAAGCCAAGTATGAGTAAAACTTGCATGGGATGTTTTTGAGGGTCAAGACCAATGGAAAGTTGTACTTTTCTGTGCCTGAAGTTCGTGTATTGTGAGTAGTTAGTTAAAGATGACTGAATTTTGGGAGGTAAGGCATACTTTTTGTATATAGCCTTTATGAAGACCGATGGTAGTAATGTGTTGGATACATTACTGAGGGGTACATTGCAAGCATTCTGAGGGGTTTTAATTCCTTTGTCATTAAAGATGGGGGAGAATGAAAAAGGTGTGACAATAAACTCTCAATAACTTACAACTTTGTGAAAAAAGTGCTGCGTCAATGTGGTTACTTTCCATACTCACTCCATCATCAGCCATGTAGTCTGCACTGCCAAACCAGAAATATCAACTACTCTCATACGTAGAAATGAGAATAGATTTCAGATGGTCATTAAGCTCAGTTAGCCTTAGTGGAAATAATCTCTGTTTTATTGCTTATACAGATCTCATTCCTGTAGAACTTCTGACTAGTGTGAGCATAACAGTATTTTTAGAGTTTTGTGTGGGAAATTGCTTGGCCCAGTTTGGTATGTAAAACACAAGATTGACCCTTTGTGGGAAGGTAAATGCCTGCACTTAGTGAAGTGAAAGGGTTTGATGCAGCAAGAGAACTTAGTCCATGCAAAAGCACAGCAAAGTAATGACATCTATATTCATTAGGAGAAAAGTTAGGTGAATTTAGGGGAAATCTGAATTGATGGCATCATTTTCTTTTATGCTTATTTGCAGCTTTAATGATTCATAAAGAAAAAAAAAAACCTGTAGACTTGTTTGGGAGCACATTTTATGCAGCTGAAGTCTAAGAACAATACTGTAAACAAAGACATCACAATTAGAACCACAACTGAAATACATGGTCGTAGATTAGGTCCGTACCATTTGCCTCATGACCAAAATCCCAGGACAGCACAGACATTGGGACATTGTGACTTCTCCTCATCTTTTCAAGCTTGGGGATAGCTAGCAAAATTGTCAATGAGGCCTACTGTGCCAGGGTATTTTATGTGTGTTGTGGTGCCCAGACCAAAGAGACCAAGGAACACAGCTCTTGGGGCTGTGTCTCAGCCATGTCCATTAGTAATGGCATGTGCCCTGTGCCTGTTAGTGAAACAGGAAAAGGAAGCAGAATGACAAAGTACTGGTGGGGCTGGCTGCTGTCTGCAAGTTCAGAGTTCCCCCTGTTTATGTGTCGTGGTTTATTGTAATGTGAGAGTCTTTCACAGAAATAGAGACCTGCTCAGAAAACTGTTTGCTGTAAAGCTTACTTACATGCCT